GCGCACTCGAGCAACTTTCAAACAGAAAGCCTGCGGAAGTGGAGACCCTGCACAAGAACAAACGAAACGGTTAAATATGCCAATTCCAACGTCTAACGGTGGCATTTGAGCACGAACGGCAGTTTACCCCCCAAGCTTGCGGCCCAGACTTACCGTGCACGATACCGTGCTAAGGCGCCTCACGTACGTCGCAGCCTCGTTAGACCTGAGGCCGCGCACTCGAGCAACGTTCAAACAGAAAGCCTGCGGAAGTGGAGACCCTGCACAAGAACAAACGAAACGGTTAAATATGCCAATTCCAACGTCTAACGGTGGCATTTGAGCACGAACGGCAGTTTACCCCCCAAGCTTGCGGCCCAGACTTACCGTGCACGATACCGTGCTAAGGCGCCTCACGTACGTCGCAGCCTCGTTAGACCTGAGGCCGCGCACTCGAGCAACGTTCAAACAGAAAGCCTGCGGAAGTGGAGACCCTGCACAAGAACAAACGAAACGGTTAAATATGCCAATTCCAACGTCTAACGGTGGCATTTGAGCACGAACGGCAGTTTACCCCCAAGCTTGCGGCCCAGACTTACCGTGCACGATACCGTGCTAAGGCGCCTCACGTACGTCGCAGCCTCGTTAGACCTGAGGCCGCGCACTCGAGCAACATTCAAACAGAAAGCCTGCGGAAGTGGAGACCCTGCATAAGAACAAACGAAACGGTTAAATATGACAATTCCAACGACTAACGGTTGCATTTGAGCGCGAACGGCAGTTTACCCCCAAGCTTGCGGCCCAGACTTACCGTGCACGATACCGTGCTAAGGCGCCTCACGTACGTCGCAGCCTCGTTAGACCTGAGGCCGCGCACTCGAGCAACATTCAAACAGAAAGCCTGCGGAAGTGGAGACCCTGCATAAGAACAAACGAAACGGTTAAATATGACAATTCCAACGACTAACGGTTGCATTTGAGCGCGAACGGCAGTTTACCCCCAAGCTTGCGGCCCAGACTTACCGTGCACGATACCGTGCTAAGGCGCCTCACGTACGTCGCAGCCTCGTTAGACCGGAGGCCGCGCACTCGAGCAACATTCAAACAGAAAGCCTGCGGAAGTGGAGACCCTGCATAAGAACAAACGAAACGGTTAAATATGACAATTCCAACGACTAACGGTTGCATTTGAGCGCGAACGGCAGTTTACCCCCCAAGCTTGCGGCCCAGACTTACCGTGCACGATACCGTGCTAAGGTGCCTCACGTACGTCGCAGCCTCGTTAGACCTGAGGCCGCGCACTCGAGCAAAGTTCAAACAGAAAGCCTGCGGAAGTGGAGACCCTGCACAAGAACAAACGAAACGGTTAAATATGCCAATTCCAACGTCTAACGGTGGCATTTGAGCACGAACGGCAGTTTACCCCCAAGCTTGCGGCCCAGACTTACCGTGCACGATACCGTGCTAAGGCGCCTCACGTATGTCGCAGCCTCGTTAGACCTGAGGCCGCGCACTCGAGCAACTTTCAAACAGAAAGCCTGCGGAAGTGGAGACCCTGCATAAGAACAAACGAAACGGTTAAATATGACAATTCCAACGACTAACGGTTGCATTTGAGCGCGAACGGCAGTTTACCCCCAAGCTTGCGGCCCAGACTTACCGTGCACGATACCGTGCTAAGGCGCCTCACGTACGTCGCAGCCTCGTTAGACCTGAGGCCGCGCACTCGAGCAACATTCAAACAGAAAGCCTGCGGAAGTGGAGACCCTGCATAAGAACAAACGAAACGGTTAAATATGACAATTCCAACGACTAACGGTTGCATTTGAGCGCGAACGGCAGTTTACCCCCAAGCTTGCGGCCCAGACTTACCGTGCACGATACCGTGCTAAGGCGCCTCACGTACGTCGCAGCCTCGTTAGACCGGAGGCCGCGCACTCGAGCAACATTCAAACAGAAAGCCTGCGGAAGTGGAGACCCTGCATAAGAACAAACGAAACGGTTAAATATGACAATTCCAACGACTAACGGTTGCATTTGAGCGCGAACGGCAGTTTACCCCCCAAGCTTGCGGCCCAGACTTACCGTGCACGATACCGTGCTAAGGTGCCTCACGTACGTCGCAGCCTCGTTAGACCTGAGGCCGCGCACTCGAGCAAAGTTCAAACAGAAAGCCTGCGGAAGTGGAGACCCTGCACAAGAACAAACGAAACGGTTAAATATGCCAATTCCAACGTCTAACGGTGGCATTTGAGCACGAACGGCAGTTTACCCCCAAGCTTGCGGCCCAGACTTACCGTGCACGATACCGTGCTAAGGCGCCTCACGTACGTCGCAGCCTCGTTAGACCTGAGGCCGCGCACTCGAGCAACGTTCAAACAGAAAGCCTGCGGAAGTGGAGACCCTGCAGAAGTACAGACGAAACGGTTAAATATGCCAATTCCAACGACTAACGGTTGCGTTTGAGCGCGAACGGCAGTTTACCCCCCAAGCTTGCGGCCCAGACTTACCGTGCACGATACCGTGCTAAGGCGCCTCACGTACGTCGCAGCCTCGTTAGACCTGAGGCCGCGCACTCGAGCAACTTTCAAACAGAAAGCCTGCGGAAGTGGAGACCCTGCATAAGAACAAACGAAACGGTTAAATATGACAATTCCAACGACTAACGGTTGCATTTGAGCGCGAACGGCAGTTTACCCCCCAAGCTTGCGGCCCAGACTTACCGTGCACGATACCGTGCTAAGGCGCCTCACGTACGTCGCAGCCTCGTTAGACCTGAGGCCGCGCACTCGAGCAACGTTCAAACAGAAAGCCTGCGGAAGTGGAGACCCTGCAGAAGTACAGACGAAACGGTTAAATATGCCAATTCCAACGACTAACGGTTGCGTTTGAGCGCGAACGGCAGTTTACCCCCCAAGCTTGCGGCCCAGACTTACCGTGCACGATACCGTGCTAAGGCGCCTCACGTACGTCGCAGCCTCGTTAGACCTGAGGCCGCGCACTCGAGCAACTTTCAAACAAAAAGCCTGCGGAAGTAA